TCGCCCTCGTCGTCGCCGCCTCCCTCCATCTGACCTCTTTCAGGGGGGTTGATCGCTCGCCCTCCCCCTCATCGCCCGCGCGCGCCCTCCCACCCCCGAGGAGGGTGATGCTGTGGGTGAGGAGGGCGAGGAGGAAGATGAGGAGGAGGAGTGCAGAGAGGATGAGAAAGGCGATCAGGAGGATGCAGGTGCATGCGAGGATAAGGACGAGGAGCAAGAGGATGCAGCGGAGTGAAATCAGGAGGAGGCGGAGCGTGAGGGTGCAATGCCCACCCTAGGCTGCACTATCACGTCCCTCGTGTCCTGAAGCTCGCCCTCCCCGTCCTCGCCCGCGCACGCCCTCCCACTCCCGAGGAGGACGATGCTGGGGGTGGGGAAGATGAGGAAGAAGATGATGATGAGGAGGAGAGCGCAGGGAGGATGTTGACATGGTACCAGGAGGATTGATACAGATGAACATGAGAATGAGGACAAGGATCGAGGAGCAAGGGGAGGAATCGGAGTAACATGAGGGGGAGGGGGAGCATGCAGTGCCCGCCCGAGGCTGCAGTATCATATCCCCACGGCGCTGAAGCGCGTTATGAAGACCACCGACGTCGAGCAGCACCAGAAGGTGCAGAAGTTTGACCAGCACACGGACGACGATGACGATCAGCCAATCACGCTAGGCGGCCTCACTAGTGACGACGAGAATGACAGCCTCGTGAGCGTGCACAGCGAGATCGACGGCGCGGATCCCCCAGGCTCGGCGAGGAGGAGTTGGAGGAGGAGAGGGTGAGGGATTGGGCAGGACGGGGGGGGGGGTAGGAGGAAGACGAAGAACGATGTGGAAAAGGGTGAACGGACGGGCGATGGAGCGAGGGCGTGGATGAAAGGTTTTGGGGGGGAGGGACTGGGGTCAGGAGAAGGAGGAGGGCGATGGAGAAAAGGATGGTGAAGCGGATGCCGTCGTAGGACCATCCGTCACGAGGGGCCCGTCCATGCGTGTGTGCCCTATGAGCCCTATGAACAATATGAGCTCTACGAGTCCTATGAGTCCCATGAGACCTATGCGACATATGAGCCCTATACACCCTATAAGCCCTATGAGCGCTATAAGCCACGTGAGCTCTATGAGCCCTTTCCGTGCGAGCCATCTGAGCCGTGCGAGCCCTATGAGCCCTCAAAGTCTTACGAACCCTAAGAGCATCTGAGCCATATGAGCCCTCGAAGCCTGAGCCATCTGAGCCATATACCCGAAGTGCAGCGAGCTTCAAGCCTTGTATTTGTGTATATATACATATATAATAAAGATGAGTAGGCGTGTGTCCATAGGGCTCATCGGGCTCATAGGGCCCGCGAGGCTCATATGACTCAGAGGGCCCATGCGGCACTTGGGGCTAGTAGGGGCCATCGGAATCACAGGGCTCATACATTCCATAGGGTTTATAGGGCGTATCGGGCCCGCGGAGCTCGTAAGGCTCATAGGGCTCATGGGCCCCCTGGGGCTCGTGCGTCCGCGAGTGCTCATAGGGCGAATGGGGCACATAGGGCTCGTAGGGCTCATAGGGCTCATAGGGCGCGTAGGGCTCGTGGGACTCGTAGGGCTGATGGCTCACAGATCTCATAGGGCTCATGGGGCTCATGGGGCTCATAGGGCTCAGCAGGCAGAGAAGGCTCATGGGGCCCAGAGGGCGTAGTATAGAACTCATACGGCCCATAGGGCTCTAAGGGCTCATAGGGCCCATAAGGCAGAGAGGGCTCACATGGCTCAGGGCGTATAGAAACTCATGAGGCTCATAGGGCTTAAATGGCTCATGGGGCCATTCGGGCTCATAGGGCTCGCCAGGGTCATGGGGCTCGTAGGGCTCCTAGGGCTCCCAGGGCTCCTAGGGCTCAAAGGCCCACAGGGCGCATAAGGCTCACATGGCTTATACGGCTCATAGGGCTCGTAGGGCTCATAGGCACATAAGACTCATAGGGTCATAGGACTCATAGGCTGGTAGTCGGAGAGCCCAGACGCGCATGAAAGAAACACAAGGTTCCCAAACTGCACGGCGCATGCTTATTGGGGGCTCATTTGGGGCCCCATGGGGTGTCTGAGGGGCGTCTTGGGCCGTTTTGAGCACGTTGTGCCCTTTTGTGATTTCGCGGGTTGGTCTTAGGCCGTCTCGGAGCGCTGGGGGGGGGCACCCAAGAAGCGATGTTGGGACCCGCTCGGGCGGTGTCAGGAAGCGATGTTGAGGCCTAAGTTTGTATATAAGCCGCAGGCGGTGCCAAGGCGCTGACGGACACCCCGCAGCCGACCCGCGCCCACCGCGTCATGGCCGAGAAGCGCGACGAAGAGATGATCGAGGCGCGCTCCCCGCCCTCTCCGCAACGCCCTCCGCCCCTCCCCCATTCCTGCCTGAAGAGCGGACAGCCCTGCCCGCTCTTCAGGTATTCTCCTCGTTCTAATCCGACTCGTCCTCATCCTTCTGCTCGTCCGCATCCTTCCTCTGATCGCCCCCCTGCCTTCTCTTGCGCCCATCTCTCTCTCTCTCTCTCTCTCTCTCCCTCTCTCTCTCTCCCTCCTCATCCGCACATTGGAACGTCGATGGAGGGGGGGGTGGCGGGTGGAGTGAGATTGGTCCCGTCGATCTCGTATGCCCCTTCGCCGAGCTTCTCATCCTCCTCCTCATGCTTCGCGGGCTCCTCCTCGGACGATGTGGCGAGCTCGCCCACCCACATTCCACGCCTCACTGTTGCCCAGTGGTTCCAAGCCAATGCTCCCTGTCACCGTCTGAAAGTCTCGAAGGTCCCCTTGCGCCCCCTGGCAAGTCACGCGTGAACCCGTTCGACTCATCCTGCGGTTCCTCCTCCGCTTCTCTGCAAATCGCGGTCTCCTGTGAAGGACGCAGTGGTTCCCATTCGTAATTGCAACTCCTCCTATTCATCTTACCCCAACTCCTAGTCCAACTCCTACTCCTAACTCCTAGCTCCCTGCGGTAGGATGATGACGGGGGTGAGGATGATGAGGCGGAGGAGGCGGAGGAGGAGGAGGAGGATGAGGAGGCTGAGGGTGCGCTCCGTGTCTTCATTCCTCGTCCCACAGACCTCTGGAAGCTTTCCCGTACACCGATGCTTCATGATGGTTAGTGTCCATCGGCTGCATCACAACCAACAGTACGATCATGATCATAAATCATCATCAACAGCATCATCAGTATCTTCAGCAACAACAGCAGCACCATCATCACCATCGGCCCCATCATCAGTGTCACCATCATCACCATCACTATCACCATTACCATCGGGGCTCCACCGAAAGCTCCAGCGGCGGCATTCGCACGCGCCTCGCCCGCATAAGTCGGCGCAACTCTCACCCGCATCGTGGCGCCATGGGCCATTGTCGGCACGCCCCTCGCACGTTTCGTGACCACGCACGTGCAAACGTGTTCGTTGATGGGGGGCGCGGGTGGCACACTTTATCCATGCCCCGTGTAGGGCCAGTGATGCGCGCGTTCTCGCGCTGTCGCGTCCGATGCCGTTGCGAGGCCTCAGGGTGGGCCCAAGTTGGCCCTAATAACCGCCCCCCCACCCCCCCCCCATTCCTCCCCAGAGCAAAAACGTCGCACCGCCCAGGGACGAGCTTCTGGTTTAAAAAAACGACTGCGAGGGTAATGACTTGTAGGTGCGGGACGAGGACTGGGAAACTGATACCTGCGATGATGGAGGCGATGGCGATGATGTCGCGGATAGCGAGCAAGATGATAGTAGGGCATCGGAGGACGAGGGCGAGGCGCCAGAGAAGATATTGAGGGCGAGAACGGGAGGACGACCGCGGGCAAGGGGGGCGAGGCGGAAGACGAGGCGAATGACAATGAGGAAGAGGATGATGACGATGCGAATTTTGCAATTGTGTCGGTGCCCTGTTGGGGTTATGGTTGGGGTTCTCCTGGTCCTACTGGCTGTGGCCTTTTCGGTGGGTGCCAGTGCCCTCTTGGGGCCATTCCTCCTCCTCCTCCTCCTCCTGTCTCGCCCTGGCCAGGCGGATCGGAGCCGCAAGAACATGGCCGCCCGCCTGGCCAAGATGCAGTCCGCCGATGACGAGAGCGACGACGGTGACCAGTATGTGCTCGTGAAAGGTTGGGCGTTCAGGGTTCCAGACAGCTGCCCCGCCGCCTCTGTGGTCAGCAGCAAGATTGGGGCTGCGGTGTACGTGTGGGACGACGGCGACAGATGGATGAGCGACCAGCTGTACACAGAGGCGGCCAGGTGCGACCCCAACATCAAGAAGGCGCCCGAGGTTGCGCCCGAGGTGCCAGCGGCGGCCGCCTCAGCCAAGGAGGGCGCGGCGGCCAAGAGCGCGGCGGCCAGCCCGCAGACAGCCAAGGAGGGCGCGGCGGCCAGCCCGATGGCAGCCAAGGAGGGCGCGGCGGCCAAGGGCGCCTGGGGCGCGGCGGCCAGCCCGATGGCAGCCAAGGAGGGCGCGGCGGCCGCCTCGGTCAAGAAGGGCGCGGCGGCCAAGGGCGCAGAGGGCGCGGCGGCCAAGGGCGCAGAGGGCGCGGCGGCCAGCCCGCAGGCAGCCAAGGAGGGCGCGGCGGTAAGCCCGCATGCAGCCAAGGAGGGCGCGGCGCCCGTCGACGCGGGCAAGGGCAGGGGCAGGGGCAGAGGCAGAGGCAGGGGCAAGAAGGCCCAGCATGCCGACGGCGACGGCGGTGGGCTGAACGTCGGCGGCGAGGGCACGGGCAAGGGCAAGGGCAGGGGCAAGGGCAAGTGCAAGGCGGCGGGCAAGGGCGGCGAGGGTTGGCATCATCAGGCCTCTCGCACTGCAACGTAACCTCCTCATCCCTCTCCCCACGATTATTCCAGACTTATGGCATCGAGTCCTCCACTTTAGAACCTTCCCAAGTCTCCGCCGCCCCCCATTCGCCTTTTCAAGCCCTCAACCCTTATCCTCCGCATGTTGCCGTCGCAAGTCCCCCACCTTCTACCCTCAATCAGCCCTCGTCGTTTTCAGCCAACCCGTCCTTGCGAAGGCAGAGGCGGCGGCCGACTCATCGCCCGTCCCAGCGGCGGGCGATTGGAACGAGGGCGACGCAGACACGATGAACGAGGAGCACGGCGACGGCTGGTGCGGCAGCAAGATGGCCGCGGTGCTCCGAGAGATCAAGGAGGCCCGCGAGCTGTGCGGCAAGCACGGCCAATGGAAGGTTGCGGGGGGTCAGCGGGGATGCGGAGGCAGTTGAGGATTGCGACGAGGATCTCATGGGGATGAGGCTGGCGATGAGGATGATGATGAGGACGATGAGGATGGTGATGATGAGGAGGGTGATGAGGACGATGAGGATGGTGATGAGGATGGGGATGGCGATGAGGAGGATGGGGATTAGAGAGATAATGTGAGGGAGGGGCGGAAAGTGTGAGAGAGAGAGAGAGAGTGGAGGAGGTAGATGGGGAGGATGAGGAGGACGGTGATAAGGGATGATGGTCTGATGGGGGTGAGGTGGGTGATGGGGATTCGTATGCAGATGGCGGTGGGGATGCGGCTGGCGGTGAGGTGCCGAGGGTGATGATGAGGATGAGGATGCTGAGGAGGATGATGATGAAATGAGAAGGATGGGATGAGGATGAGGATGAGGATACATATGAGGATGTGATTGGCTGCTGTGCCCTGAGGTTGGCGTCTCGCCGCGCCCGAAGATCAACGGGTGGGAGTGCTTCGTGCGGAACAATGACGGCCAGAAGTGGACGAAGACCAGCAACGCGAAGATCAAGGTGGCAGCGACGCTCAAGGGCACGGTTCTCTACGCGAACCAGTGGATGGCGAGAGGGTGCAGGCTGAGGGTGCCGCGCGCGCCGAGTTGTTGGCGGCCGCTGGAGGCGATGATGGCAGCGGCGAGGTGGCGGCCGTCAACATCAGCGACGACGATGCGCATCGGGAGGCCGCCAAGGGTGTGACGGGAGGCGCCGACGGCGTGATGACCGACACGATGCCTGACGACGTGAAGGAAGGCGCCGACGGCGCGATGGCCGACGACAAGATGCCTGACGACGTGAAGGAAGGCGCCGACGGCGCGATGGCCGACGACAAGATGCCCGACGACGTGAAGGGAGGCGCCGACGGCACGGCGGTCGACGACAAGATGGCAGACGGCGCGAAGGAGCACGTCGACGGGCTCTTCGATGACGTGGTGCAGGAGATCGACTGTTTCACCCAGCCCGAGGAGGACGGCTTGCACTCGACCCAGGTGGAGGACGCCACCGCGACCCAGTTCTTCGGCGTGGTCGAGAATGCGGGGTCCGACCAGAAGCGCCGACGCTTGGGCGCCAAGTCCGCGGTGCCCGAGTCTGACGGCCCTGGGTTGGCAGACTAGGTAGAGTGGATGAGGTGGAGGATGGGAAATGATGGGTTGGCAGAATAGGTAGAGTGGATGAGACGATGGTTAGGATTACAGTGGGAGGATGGGAAATGATGGACAGAGCACGAGAGCAACTTTTGTTATTCAGTATCGGCGACGGCGGCGCCACTAGATATATACATGGATATATAGGCGCCGTACAAGGGTTGCAGCACTCCGCGACGAGTGCTTGCGTGCGCGCTGAGAGTTTCAAGGCCTGCCGTCGCCTTCGTGTCGCGTGGCTGCAAGCTCGTTCAGGTCAGGCGCAATGCAATGTGCCGAGGGTAGCTTGACGATCACATACAGGCCGCTCGAAGATAGCGCGAAGATATTCCTCCTCTGGCCCACGCCCGCTCCCCTTTCCCACGCGTGGGTTTTCGGTCACTGGCTGCCGCCCGTCCACCACCCGTCGTCTGGGTGGGCCTAGCTGCGCTTGTTCGATGCCCTGGTTTAGGCACCGATGGGCCTTCGGTGCTGGTGTGCACCCCAAGTCGGCCCACTCCCGTTTCTGCGGGTTCGGGTTGGGCCCCCCTTCTGAACCGCACATGGCCCGACCAGCCTGGATGCTCAGCAGATACAGCCAATCCGCATAGTAAGGATGCGCGATAAGGATGCAAAGGCCTTGGACGCCCATGTCGATGCTTTTCGAGCGGGCCGCGGCCAACGAAAGCTGCCAAATATGGGCCGAGAAGGTAAGGATGCACGGGTACCCGTGGGAAGGTTGCCCATCCTTACTATGCGGGTTGATTGCAGGCAACGTCCGATATCGCCTATTCCAAATGGCAGCGCGTTGTGCCCCGCCCCGCATTGCCCCCTCCACCCCCATTCGACCCTATTTCCTGTTTACCCTGGCTCACCGCCCACCCCTCCGCCGCCCCCCCCAGCCCGCCCTCAGCACAGACATCCGCCTCGTCCTCTCTCATTCCCCTCACCCCCTGCAACCCCTTGCACCAATTGTCGTCGGCGCACGTCGTCGCGCAACCAGAGGCATGCGCGGGCACGCAGAGACGAGTGACGACGCGCAGAGACATCAACAAGCATCGGTCGGCAGGTTAAGACATGCAACGACACGCGCAGACGCGCAGCGACATGTATAGGCACGCGAAGCCACCAGCTGACAGCCTTCGGCATCTTCAGACATGCAGCGGCATGCGCAGACACGCCCAAACAAATTCAGGCACTCGGAGACATACACGGATATCGACAGACATGCTCGGACATGCAGCGACATTCGCAGACGTGCGCAGACACACGCAGACACTCGCAGACATACACGGACATCGACAGACATGTTCGGACATTCAGCGACATTCGCAGACATGCGCAGACACACGCAGACACTCGCAGACATACACGGACATCGACAGACATGTTCGGACATGCAGCGACATTCGCAGACATGCGCAGACACGCAGAGACACACGCAGACATTTGCAGACATCGGCAGACATGTTACGACATGCAGCGACACGCGCAGACATGGGCAGACACACGCAGACACGCGCAGACATCCACGGACACCCACAGACAGCTTCGGACATGCAGCGACATACGCAGACAATCCAAGACACGTGACGACATTGCCAGGCATCGGCCGACATGTTCGGACATGCAGCGACATGCGCAGACACGCACACACAAGTGCAGACACTCGCAGACATACACGGTCATCGACAAACATTCTCGGACATGTAGCGACATGCGCAGACACGCCCAGACACGTGCATACACCCGAAGACCTACACGGACATCGGCCGACGCTTTCGGACATGCAGCGACATTCACAGACATGCGCAGACACACAAAGTCGTTCGACACGCGCAGACATGCGCAGGCACACAAAGACACTAGCAGACATTAGCGGGCACCCACAGACATCTTCGGACATGCAACGACATCCGAACATGCTCCGCACACATCGACTGACATTCGGAATGCACGGGCGTTGATTCGCAGACACGTGGATACAACACAACCGCCCGCTCGCCGTGTCGCCCTCCCCTCGTCCTCCTCCTCCTCCTCATCGCCCTCCTCCTCCTCGCCGTCGCTCGCCTCCCTTCCTCCTCGCCGACGCCCCGCAGCCCGTCGAGAAACGATGTGCCAGGCGAGTTGCCTATGTTCGCTGGGTCTCGCGCCCAGCCCCCCCCCCCCCCCAAACTCCATCGGAGGGGCACCAATCATTAAAGGTGAGGAGGAGGATGTCAGGAGTCCTCGTGGGCCGTACCGCGGCCGAATGGGGCTTCCAGGGCTATGTCTAGGCAACAGTCGGCACCCGAGGAAGACGAGCTGAGACCAGCAGGGCCCCGAGATCAACGTGGCTCGAATGGCGAGAGGGGGGAGAGGGGGGGGAGAGAGCGAGAGAGAGAGAGAGAGAGAGAGAGATAGAGGGAGAGAGAGCGAGCTCTATAATTATATATAGAGGGGGAGAGAGAGAGAGACAAATAGAGAGAGAGAGAGAGAGAGAGAGCGAGAGAGAGAGAGAGAGCGAAAGAGAGAGAGAGAGAGAGAGAGCGATATATAACACACAACAATAAATGAGAGCAGGGGTCAGGTACGCTGCCAGGTCTACCACGTTAGGTGGCGTGCTCCTGGGGGTCGGGGGCCCCTAGCCTCAGGGGCGCCAGCGGAAGGGGCAACAACGAAATCACAAAGCAAGCGGTGTCCTGGACGTCTAGTGGCCTTAGGCGTCGCGGGGTGCTTTGTGGCCGAAGGCGTCGTGCTTTTGTTTGCGTGGCCTTGCGCGTCTTGGGGTGCGTTGGGGCCTGAGGCTTCGTGGGGCGCATTGCTGCATGCTGCGTTCTGGTTTGTTTGTTGTTTTCGGGGGGGGGGGGCTGGGGCGTCTTGAGGCGCGTTGAAAGCCGTATGAGTCTTGGGGCGCGTTTGGTGACTGGGGCGTCTTGGGGTGTCTTGCCCCCCCCCCCCCCTCCCCCCAGCACATGGGCCCTAATGGGCCCTGATGGGTCCTAATGGGCCCTGTTGTGGCCTAATGGGCCAAGAGGGACATCTGGGACTCGGGCACAGCAGGAGGTAGCAGTGCAGGTCAGCGTTAGCCCAGCGACCGAAGGGATTGTGGGAGAGGCCCTTCTTCCCCCATCCCCGAAGGGATGGGAAGGGAGGGGCCTCCTCCCTGGCTGCATTTGCCTTGCGCGGTGCAGTGCCCCTCGGCCCTGACTGGCAGCTGGCTCTGAAGTGCTAGGGCCCCTCGCCACTCCGAACCCCCCGTCCGCCCCTCCACTTGATTTTTTGTTTTATATTTTTTAAGTAAAAAAATATTTTTTGTTGAATAATTTTAAAATATGTTTATATCAGTTTTTATTTTTTTCACATTATTTTTTCAGCTTGGAGGGGCGGAAGGTGGGCCAGGAGGTGGCCCCTCCCTTTACGGGCACTGCGCCTGAGGGGGCTACGCGGTGGAGAGGGCACCGCCTCCCTTTTGTTTTGCGGGCGGCGCCGATCGTGCACCGCCCCAGCTTGATATGCTGAGCCGCGCGTGCACAAGCACGTTGGTGCGTGTCCTCGTGTTATCAAGCTAGCGCGGTGCGCGGTTGGCGCCGTTCGCCTGGGACCAAAATCGCCCTGGCCGTTTCGCTGGAGACGCTCGTCACTTGTGGCCTCAGTTCTTTGCTAGTATCACACGCCCGCCTTTGTTATATATCAACGCAGAATATGTGCCACATGATTATTTGTTACCATGCCGATGCCAAGCCGTTGCCAAGGGATCCCGTTTTTTTATAGCACACGCATTCCTGACATATGCCTTTCGGCACACCCGCTCCGCTGACGCCTGGGGTCTAGGGATTGGGGTCTCGGGT